GTATCTGGTATCTCGTATCTGGTATCTGGTTTCTGGTGTCTGGTATCTGGTTTCTGGTGTCTGGTATCTGGGGTCTGGTATCTGGTGTCTGGTATCTGGTGGCTGGTATCTGGTATCTGGTATCTCGTATCTGGTGTTTGGTATCTGGTATCTGGTGTCTGGTGTCTGGTATCTGGTATCTGGTATCTCGTATCTGGTATCTGGTTTCTGGTGTCTGGTATCTGGTGTCTGGTGTCTGGTATCTGGTATCTGGTGTCTGGTATCTGGTATCTGGTATCTCGTATCTGGTATCTGGTTTCTGGTGTCTGGTATCTGGTGTCTGGTATCTGGTATCTGGTATCTGGTGTCTGGTATCTGGTATCTGGTGTCTGGTATCTGGTATCTGGTATCTGGTGTCTGGTATCTGGTATCTGGTATCTGGTGTCTGGTACCTGGTGTCTGGTATCTGGTATCTGGTATCTCGTATCTGGTATCTGGTTTCTGGTATCTGATGTCTGGTATCTGATGTCTGGTATCTGGTGTCTGGTGTCTGGTATCTGGTATCTGGTATCTGGTGTCTGGTATCTGGTATCTGGTGTCTGGTATCTGGTATCTGGTGTCTGGTATCTGGTGTCTAGTATCTGGTTTCTAGTATCTGCTATCTGGTATCTGTTATCTTTTATAAGTTATCAGTTTTCATTTTTCATTTTTCTATTTTAATTTTAATTTTTTATTTTTCATTTTTCTATTTTAATTTTTAATTTTTAATTTTTAATTTTTCGAATTTTCGATTTTTCGATTTTTCGATTTTACGATTTTTCGATTTTTCGATTTTTCGATTTTTCGATTTTTCGATTTTTCGATTTTTCGATTTTTCGATTTTTCGATTTTTCGATTTTTCGATTTTTCGATTTTTCGATTTTTCGATTTTTCGATTTTTCGATTTTCGATTTTTCGATTTTTCGATTTTTCGATTTTATAGATTTTTCGATTTTCGATTTTCGATTTTCGATTTTTCGATTTTTCGATTTTTCGATTTTTCGATTTTTCGATTTTTCGATTTTCGATTTTCGATTTTTCGATTTGATTTTTTGATTCTTGATTCTTGATTCTTGATTCTTGATTCTTGATTCCTGATTTTTGATTTTGATTTTTGATTTTTGATTTTTGATTTTTGATTTTTGATTTTTGATTTTTGATTCTTGATTTTGATTTTTGATTTTCGATTTTCGATTTTCGATTTTCGATTTTCGATTTTCGATTTTCGATTTTCGATTTTCGATTTTCGATTTTCGATTTTCGATTTTCGATTTTCGAGTTTCGATTTTCGATTTTCGATTTTCGATTTTCGATTTTTGATTTTTGATTTTTGATTTTTGATTTTCAATTTTTCATTTTTCATTTTTCATTTTCATTTTTCATTTTTCATTTTTCATTCTTCAGATTTCAGTTTTCATTTTTTAGTTTTCAGTTATCAGTTATTTGTTATCTGTTACCTGTTTTCTTTTATCTGTTACTTTTTATCTGTTATCTGTCATCTTTTATCTTTTATCTGTTATAAGTTATCTGTTACCACCTGTTACCTGTTACCACCTTTTACCTGTTATCTGTTGTCTGTTATCTTTCATATAGCATTGAAAATATCCTGTATACAATTGTATAACAGACTCAGATTTATGTGAGATGCCGGCAACGTCGCATGTGTTGTTGTTAATACCATACATGGCGTTATAAAATCTTCCATGTAGCAAATTGTATAGCAGACTTAGATTTATATGAGGATCGTCGCATAAATCTAGCTATAACACGACTTGCAAAAAATGGCGCTTGACACTGACATATGTCAACCGTGTTCGTCTATGGATAGCAGTGGACTATGCTTTCTTCAGTGTATATGCTTTCTGTTTTGTAATGTCAATGTCATTGTCATAGGTAATTTTTTTAACCTGAAAAATGAAATGTATTTTGTTTAAAATTAAAATTCAATAACTCCTATTGTGAGATCTACAACATAATGAAAAGAAAAATTAAGATTCTGAAAGTTAATTCCTAAATATCATATTAAGGAAATCCGTAAAACTATCAAAAAAGTAAACATAAACACCTTGAGAAAACTTCTTCCGTATCAAGTGGTGAAAGTGGAGTTTAAAAACAATTTTTGTTGAAAATAAGGCCGTTAGTTTACAAGCAGGTATGTAACTGAGCGATCCGCTAATGTGTGGTTATCTTGCTTATCAAAAATGCTGTATTTAGATATCATTGCTATTCAAATTGAACTTTTGTCTTATTGCAGGAGAACAGTTGAACCAGGTCCTGGTGCATACTTATGTAGTTGTCATTTTGTGGATAGGAAAAAACAAAATTGACCTACATTGTTTAGGGGAGAAGCAATTGAACTTTCCATCATCAGAAAGAAGAACCCGTAAAAAGACCATTGATAACCTTTTAATATGTCAACAATGTGAAAATTGAACTCTATAATATGTTACTTCAAATTGGACCCTTTTAAGGGATGTATGTAATAATTATGTGATCTGCAGAAATAAAAATAGTTTCCCAGTAAGGAGCATACTGTTGATTATAATTTGGTCATTAGCTTTAATGTAGAGTTCAGTACTGCAGCTATAACAGGGTAGTCCCTTGATTTTTTCAAAGCTATTCAACAAACATGTACTTCTATGAGGTCAACATGTATGGTGTTGAATTTTGAATTGAAAAAAATTGAGAAAGCTATCTTGTTTGTGTGTTTCGTATTTAGATCATTTACAACTCAAACCTAGTCCCTATGCGAAAAGAGAAACGAAAAAAGCTGATGAAGCTATGCTAGCAAATTAGGTACTGAAAATTACAATTTAGGTCTTGCGTATGCTCCTAAACTTCATCAGCATTAGTCGACCAGGCATTCATGTCTTTTTGAACAGTTCAAGCACTCCTGTGGTCATTCTTTTTTGACAAGTAATAGTTGTTTGTTGTTTTGACTAAAAATAGGCTTTGGTAGTCACAAAGCAATTGAACAACACTGTGAGTTTCTTCATTTCATGTAATGTATCCATCGTTTCTACAAAAATCTGTATGATGACTCTCAAATATAGTTACAAACTGTTGTTTAAGAATTTAATAAGACCTTCTAATTCTGTATGTGTGTTTCGTATTTAGATCATTTACAACTCAAACCTAGTCCCTATGCGAACAGAGAAACTGAAAAAAAGCTGATGAAGCTATGCTAGCAAATTATGGTACTGAAAATTACAATTTAGGTCTTTGCGTATGCTTCTAAACTTATCAGCATTAGTCGACCAAGCATTCATGTCTTTTTGAACAGTTCAAGCACACCTGTGGTCATTCTTTTTTGACAAGTAATAGTGTCTGTTGTTTTGACTAAAAATAAGCTTTGGTAGTCACAAAGCAATTGAACAACACATGTGAGTTTCTTCATTTCATGTAATGTACCCATCGTTTCTACAAAAATCTGTATGATGGACTCTCAAATATAGTTACAAACTGTGTTTAAGAATTTAATAAGACCTTCTAATTCTGTATGTGTGTTTTCGTATTTAGATCATTTACAACTCAAACCTAGTCCCTATGCGAACAGAGAAACGAAAAAAGCTGATGAAGCTATGCTAGCAAATTAGGTACTGAAAATTACAATTTAGGTCTTTGCGTATGCTTCTAAACTTCATCAGCATTAGTCGACCAGGCATTCATGTCTTTTTTGAACAGTTCAAGCACTCCTGTGGTCATTCTTTTTTGACAAGTAATAGTGTTTGTTGTTTTGACTAAAAATAAGCTTTAGTAGTCACAAAGCAATTAAATAACACTGTGAGTTTCTTCATTTCATGTAATGTATCCATCGTTTCTACAAAAATCTGTGATGATTCTCAAATATAGTTAAAAACTGTTGTTTAAGAATTTAAGAAGATCTTCTAATTCTGAATATGTGTGTTTCGTATTTAGATCATTTACAACTCAAAACCTAGTCCTTATGCGAACAGAGA